TTATTAGTTTTGTTTAATGTTTCCTCATAAAGCACCGTACCACAGTAAGAAATAACGTACAAGTGGTAGATTATGTAAATGAAGCAGAAAACACTATAGTTTAGTAGGTAGTTCATATAAAATATAAAAATTAGATGAAAAATGTGTTTTTGAATGCAGTTATAATTAAAATTGTATATTGGAGTCTAAGCTATACTGTACTCTGTAAATACAAGTGGTAGTGCTGAGTTCCAAGATTATGTTGCAATAGATACTGATAAATTACTATACGACATAAGGCTTTTATTGATTCACTTTGTTTGATTCTCTTCCCTTTTTTTTACTGCATGAGTTTATATTTTTGCAATTATCTGCTAAACTACAGTAAATTAAATTCAGAGAAGGTGGAAAAAGACAAAGGTGGCGGAGATGCGTTGTAATGGCATACAGCTAAATAGGATTTAGAGAGAGAAACGTACATGGAAGCATTTCACTTGGGTAATAGTAACACCACTCTTAGGAGCTCAACAGCCCGGAAACTCTGAAAGGCTGCTTCTAGAAGGGGAGTAATTACCATGCCCGCAGCCATCGCACCTCATGCTGGGATCCTGTGCGACATAACAAGCAATGGCAATGCTGTATTTCCTGCTGGTTTTCGACAAGCTCCCAGAGAAAGTGGTGGCAACGCAAGTGAGAGCAATTCTGGACAGTAGCGGATTGTTTGATAAATCTCATCCCAGATTCAGCCCCAGACATGCTACTGAGGCTGCCCTTGTCAAAGCCATAAACGGTTTGAATACCACAGTTGAAAAGGAAGCCTGGCCTTGTTTGTACTATCAGATCTAGCCATGGGGGGGGTTATTCTGTAAAAGGCTGGATTCTGTTGCAGTGCCTAGGTGACTGGCTGGTGTTGACTGAGAATGCATTGAACTGGTTCCAGCAATACTTGATTGCGTTCCCCAATCAACATAGTAGGGTAAATTCTCCTCGCGAGCAGCCAGTTTCACATAATGACACTTGATCCCAGGGAGAATTCACCAGCAGCCTGACTTAGTTGGCACTGATGCTTTACACTCTTT